TATTCTTTTTTATTATATAATAAAATAATAGTTAAATATTATATGGTGAACAACAATAAGTAAAACTGTTACTTTCTCTTATATCAAGGGATAAATTTATATGCTAAAAATAAATTTTTATTAGTATAAATGTTTTAGTGAGATAATATATTAATTATTTTACAAGCTAGCCCTAACATGCTCATATTTAATGTTTTAAAAGATGTAGAAAAAAAACTTATAATAACTCTATTGTTTTTTAGGCTTAAACGTTGATTAAAAGAGGTAAAAATTCCTAATCTTTTAGACTTAAACGTTGATTAACACCATAGATTGAGAGTTTATATTTAGTAAAATTCTTAATTGTAATAAAAAATTAATTTTTGCTATATTTTAGAATATCTTTAAATTCATTATAAAAAAAAAATAAAAAAAAACTACAATGAAAAAAACAAGTCAGCTATATATCGATTTGTTGTACTCCTCAAATCACATTCATAATTTGGCTACAAGGAAATGAAACTCATTGATTAAAATATTATTTTGTCAGTAGTCTTAATGTACAAGAGACTTTAAGACTCCACTTGAATATTATAAAATTTTTATTGAACATCGTACAATTTCTTGCGTATTATAAACTTTTATTGAATATTGCATCTTATAATATAATATTCTCCAAATAAATATATCTCGCGGGTCACGTACTATATATATTCCGTACATTTTTCTTTATTCATGTATATAATTATAAGTCTGGATAAATAGCCTTAAAATTGTGCACCCCGTGCATCGCACGGGCTCTGTACTAGTCTAATATAAATTGTGGGAATATTTTTTTCATAATTTTTATAATGTCCCTATATTAAAAGAAAGAAAGATACATAATGAATTAGTTTACAACTCAACCAATTATAATTTAATTCAACTCATACCTTGATTAATGTTATAACATAAACGCGGCATCACAACTAAAGAAAATATAATAAATCTCAAAATTACGACCCAACAATTGAGACCAGTTTATTCATTTATATACTGGGATTATCTATACCTTTTATTATCATGAATAATTGCATCATTACGTTCTAATACCGTAATGACTCGCTAGTTCACGCAAAGTTTTCAAAACTTTTATCTGATATATACTTTTACCTGATATATGATATAGACTTTTCTATTCCTATTTTAAAAGGCCTTTTTGAATTCAATAAAATGTAAATGAACCATATTGATGATAGTTTCAAATCTCTCTTTTGCAACATATTTTTTTCTATATCTTCAAAATATGTTTTTTATGTCTTTTTAAACTAATGCAAGGGGAATTATGGTTATATATTCATAATTTATAAATTCATCAACTGTATTGTCGAGTCAGATATACTACAACATAGATTTTTTGTTTATAATTTTATTTTAAAAAAAAAATATTATCAATGATTTTCTTATGTTGAATCGAGAAAAATTGTCATTTTTTTATTAAATATTTTTTAACTTATTGTGACTATACTGATGTGTTAGAATGTATTACAAGTGAGAAACACGACAAATTATGTAAAGTATAATTTATAAATTGTAATGACATTATGTTGTTTTGATGGTATACTTTTTCTATTAACTATATAGTGCCCCAATATAAAATTATTTTGGATCCGCCACTGCAATTACTTTTTCAATGGTACTTCTATTAATTTTTTTACAATTTCAATGACAGTTTTTTCAACGGTAGAAATATGATCCATAAAAAAATTCAGCATAAATTCAAACAAAAATAAATTATAGTAATTGGAATCATTTAATTCACAAAATTTTCAATGTAATTTAATTTGATCTCTGTTGGAATAGTTAATGAAATTTTTCAATAAAAGCTATACCAATGAAATATCCATTGGAATTTTCATTGGAATATCTTACAAATGCATTTTCCATTGCAATATACCAATTTTTTTTGTATTCCTTCTTAACCATTATATTTTAGGTAGTAGTTATTGAGTAATTGTGTTTACAATGTTTCTATTAAAATATATTATAACACATGAACTTTTTAATCTATATAATTTTTTTAATGTAACTCATTATTTTATCTCAAGATTACCTATTATATTCCCAATTGAGTTACATTTATTACATATCAAATGTTAAATAATTAAAATAATTATTATTTATATATTTAATATGATATATATATTATATGTAAAAAGCTAATAGCAAATAAAAAGTAATTTAAAATTAGAATAATCCAGTGTTTTTTTTTTCTAACCTACATGGATAAAGGTAAAAAGAACTATTGTATATCACCTAAAACTTACACATAGAATTAATAAGTACAAAAATTAACAAGCATTTAACAACCCTGCTCGTTTACATCGATAAATATAAGTTCTAAAAGGTTTATGTTTACTTTTATTAATCATAACATATTTATTTATTATTTTTTAATATTTATTAGTACGTTTTACAACATAGTAATTTTTAATATCATTTGTCAGATTTAATATTTTTTTATTTTGTATTGTTCTTTCATATGTTTTTAACTTTTGTATTTGCTTAAAAATTCATAATATTATGTATAGAACTTTTTCGGTCATATGTGTTAATATATAAATTATTTGTATATCTTAATATTATATTATATTATATACAATACAGTTTTCCCTTTGATATTATAATCAATTATTCATAATTATTCATCAACACTACTGTCGAGTCAACTATACTACAACATAGATTTTTTGTTCATAAGATTTTTAAAGAATATATTATTTCGGTCATATGTGCTAATATATCATCTATTTGTATATCTTAATATTATATTATATACAATTACATTTTTCTCATTAATATTATAATCAATTAGTCATTATTTATAAATTAATCAATAATATTGTTGAGTCATCTATACTACAACATAGATTTTTTGTTCATCAGATTTTAAAAGATATATTATTTTCAATGATTTGCTTATTTTTAGTTGAGAAAAATTAAGTTTTTTTTATAAATACTTTTAACTTATTGTAACTGTATAGATTTGCTAAACATGTATTACAGATGAGAAAGATGACAAATTATGAAAAGTATAATTTATATATTGTAATGACATTATGTTATTTTGATCGTATAATTTTTCTATTAGCTAAATAGTGCCCCCAATATGAAATTGTCTGTATTTACCACAACAATTAGCTTTCCAATGCAACTTTCATTGAATTTTTTACAATTCCAATGAGAAATTTTCCAACAGTAGAAATATGTTTCGAAAAAAAATTAAATGAATTCACACTACAATAAATAATGGTAATTCGAATCATTGAAATTTACTAAAATTCTAATATAGTTTAATTTAATATATGTTGGAATAGCCAGTGATATTTTCCAATGAAAGCTATACAAATGAAATATCCTTTGGAATTTTTAGTGGAACACCTTATCGTTGGATTTTTCATTGCAATATAGCATTTTATTTTTTGCATTTCCTTTTAAACATTAAAATTTTTATGTTGTAGTTTTTTTGTTAAGTAATTGCGTTTACAATTTTTTTTTATTAAAAATATTTTAAACACATGAACTTCTTAGTCCATATAATTTTTTAGAAATCACTCGTTATTTTAATTCAAGATTACCTATCAATTTCTCAATTGAATTACAACCTTTTACGTACTAAATATTAAATAAAAAAAATAATTATTATTTTATATTGTAATATGATATTTATATATTATATTAAAAAAACTAATAGCTAATAAAAAGATATTTAAAATTAAAATAATTATTTTTTAAAATATTAAAATTTTCAACCTACATGGATAAAAGTACAAATAATTATTATCTATCTCTTAAAAATTACACATAGAACTAATAAACACAAAAAAGTAAAAAGAAATAAACAACTCGATTCATTTACATTGATAAGTATAAGTTTAAAAGTTTTATTTTTACTTTATTAATTATAAATTTTTTTATTTATTATTTGTTTTCATATTTATTAGTAAGTCTTACAACTTAATTGTATTTTTAATGTTATTCATCAGATTTAATAATTTTTTACTTTCATATTGTTCTTTTATTTAGCACACATCTTGAAAATCAGTGGCTCAATAAAATAATAATAATTAAAATCTCATGATAAATTTTACTTAATTCTCGAATGTAAAATTCATATATATTAAATGTTAATAATTAAAATATTACTCATCTTGATATTAATCATCTAATGGTCAAGTGAAAATTCGTTAATTATATTCACTTTGTGACTAAAATTGGAAAAAACAAACAAACAAACAAATGACGATTTTTGTGGGATCAAAATCCAGTAAGACTAAAGTGCAATTTCTATTCTAATTCTAAATATAAGAGTTTACTTTTCTTAAATAATGAAGTAGCTAAATAAATTGTTCAACTTTTCTAGTTTGTCAAATAATGTATAAAGTTATATTAAAAACATGGATTTTTTAAAACAACAATTCTATAATTTTTTTAAAACTTTGTTGTTTAGGTTGATGTTAGGTTAATTTTTGGGAGATAAGTGGAAGAAAACCATTTCGTGAGAAATAATGGTGCGAGAATATTGTGTTTGTTTTTAGAAGATGTGAAATGTATTGTTCGTGTATTTGTATTTAATTAATTAAATATCAGTTATTAATTAAAAATATAAGATATGATGTGTATTAGTGTATTACTAATTTGTCATTAAAAACATGATAAAGTAAGAGTTTTTTAGATAATTTAATTTTTAATTAAAATTATAAAAATAAAATATGTATTACTGTATTACTAATTTGCACTTAAAATATATCAAAGTAAAATTATTTTAGGTATTCCATATTTTATAAAAAAGTACTTTTAGAATAGAAGATAGAAAAAGAAGAAGAAAATAGATAAAAGATAGAATAGATAGATAATTAGAGATAGATATAGATTATTGGTAGTTCACATCACATCAATCACTCGTATCTATCATCAATCACATCACAATTTTCTTCAACAATCTCTACAAGACTACAACCAAACTAGAAAACAGAAAACACCAAAATAATAAGAAAGATAAATCTGTCGCCACTGTAAATATACATTTTGACCGGAAAATGTCTACGAGCTCCGGCCGGCGGGTGGTGGGAACAAAGTTCTTCAAAATCATATTGAACCCCGAAGCAGACCGTATAGTAAGTTCCATAAAATTTTATCTTTATCTTTCTGTTAGTGTAGTACGATGTGAGCATTTTCTCTACATGTGTTTTGTCTAAAATTAGAGGCCACAAATTGTACTATCACGTTCGTATTTCGCTGTAGTACGTGTCGTCTTCTTTATTAGATTATAAATAGGATAATGTCTAAATTTAACTAACTTATTTCTGTTTCGTGATATCCATGTCGTGTTTTGATTTTTTTTCGTGTTGTGTCGTGTTGTATTTCACCCTTATTTTTGTGTTAGCTACTTAATTAATTACATAGTAAATATGATAGTACAATAAAATTTAGTTAAATTTGTTTGTAGTTCGTGCTATGTGTCGAGTTCATATGTTTTACTCTCTCTGTCTTATTTATACTCAATTATATCATTTTAATTTAGCTAAATCATTTATTTCGATTACATCGTGTCATGTGACTATATAATTGCGTTTGTATTTTGTGTCGTGTCAATCTTTGTCAGAGAATCCCGCCCGAGTTTACAAAGAGATACGGTCACGATCTTCCCAGCCGTGTTTTCCTAAAGGTTCCGACTCGGCCGCCAATGGAGGCCGAATTGACTCGGTGTGATGACGGTCAAACTTGGATACACAAAGGATGGCAGGAATTCAAAGACAGTCACTCGATCTGTTTCGGTTATCTCCTGTTGTTCGAATACGATGGGAAATCCGAGTTTAAAGTCCTCATTTTCGACAAGGGTGCTGTAGAAATAATTTATGACATTAATGGTGTTGCAAATGCGAACATTGATCGAGACCTGCAGACATATTTTTCCACACCTCTCCTTGATTATTTTAGTCCAAATCATATTCCGGTGTCTTATGAATTTATAAGGGGACAAATTGATTTCGTGGATGAGCAGATTTTGTTCGCTCGGGCACAACTTGAGAAATTCAGCGCCATGCGTGCACAATTTGCTGCTCTCGTTTCTTCTCAAGCAAAGGCCATACAAGGTTCGAGTGGTGGCCATTGTGCTGATGTGGCGAATGCTGATCGTGTGCATGTTATTTCCGATGATGATGATGAGGATGATGGTGATGGAGATGATGGTGCTGATGTTGATGATGATGATGATGACAACAGTGATGTTGATGAGACTAAATACCCAATACACGATAAAAAAAGGAATGACAAAGGCAAAAATCAAGAAGTCATGAAAACAAGGAAAGGCAAAGCTAAAGATCAAGAAATCATGCGTGGTATTTCCTCTCGTCTGAAAGAAGAAAGACCCAATTTCGATGGATCAAGTTCTGGTTAGAATTTTTTTGTCGTCATTTTAGTAGAAAAAGTCCCTTTGTTAAATTGTTATGTTTGTCATGATTGTGGCGTTTTGTTCCCCTGTTTTAGCATATCTACTAAAATTCTGTTGCCTTCTAAATAAAAGGTATCAAATGCCATTGAAAGTTTAGTGAACACTATTTTTTTTACTATTCTCTATCTTGGGCTGATGGATGAAATTGCTGCATTTGGTCAGGCGTAAGGGAAACGTGGGATGCATATCAGAAAGCAGAGGATTACGTCTCCAGCCGCGCTAGAAAAAACCCGTTTTTCATTTCTGTCATGCGCAAATCCTATGTCCGAAACAAATACAGCATGGTAACTAACTCATTAAAGATTTTCCCAGTCATCATTGGCTTTCTCCTACAACATTGTTCATTTCTTTTCTCAAAATGCAGTATGTACCATTTCCATTTTGTGGACGGAATTTGCCACATTTGGGCACTTTGTCAATAGTTTTGGTCACGAATGGGAAAGAATGGCTCGTGAGATGCCGCAATGCAAAATCCCGTGCAGAGTTTTTGACAATTGGATGGAGGAAATTCGTGCAGGATAATGGGATTAAGCTTGGTGATGCTTGCGTATTTGAAGTGGCGGATAGAATCGATAGTAAGGGCAATGAGCTGGTGTGGGATGTCTTTATTTTTCGCAACTGATAGGGCAGTTGGATGTGTCCCTGCCTAGTTTCAGCTGTCATCTTGTTGTGAATTGAAGCCACTTTCTGATTTTGCAATATGTTTTTGTGACTTTGGGGATATGTAAGGTTTTAGTGGTGTGGCTACCAATCATTTTGACCTAATAAACTTGTTTTAGTGCATTTGGGGCTTTGGTTTTTGCTAAATGCCATCTAAAGTGTATGTTAGTGTTACCCTGATTTGTATTGGTATTGGTATTTTTGACATTTGGTGCCATCTACGAATTTGGAGTGTTTGACAATGGACATGAAATGAAACATGACCGCGCGTCGCAACGCGGCAAATTTAAATTTATAATTTTTCCTTAACAAACCTCTACTAATAGTGGCGAGTAAGGGTCGATCTCACGAGGAACAGGAATTAAATTGTGATGATTCTCGTATTAATTGAACTAAACCTACGAAAGCAATAAAGGTGGGGGGATTGGTTTTATAAAAATAAAAATAAAAATAATAAAATAAAATAAGAGATCAAATAAAATAAGAGAAGTCCAGTTTTCGGTTCAGTTATCACCCAATCTAAATCTACCGTTAATTAATTTCGACGCTTTCTCTAGAATGCTAACGAATTACCGACCCTAGCTAACAACAAGCTCTGTTAACCGAATTTTCCCTTACAGAATATTTAATCAAAATAAGCTCTTCGACTAACTAGTGGACAACCTAGAATAAGCTCTCTAGATTTAATACACTAGCAGCATTAATTTCTAAGAAAATAGATCAGTCTAAGCAATGGACGCAAAAGCTCGGACCATTTAACTTATGCTCATGCTACCCTAAGGATGCACGACCCCTAGTTTACTACTAACGAAACGAGACAATAACAATTACGGATTAAAGTCTCGAATCTAGCAATTAAACTATGAATATTCAACTTAGCTGGTCAAACTAAATCAAACACCATAATTCATAAACATTAAACACAGATAACATGAATCAACTCATCAACAAAAATAAATACGACGTCTTGATTAATCAACGATAAAAAATAGATCCTTCAATTCATAGACAAATTAAAGTTAGGGTTCAAACATACCCTTAAACTGGATAAAAATCTAAACTACCATGCTAATAAAAATAAAAATAATAGATAAAAGAGAAAATAATTATCTCCCTCTTGTGTACGAGTGCGGCTTCCCTCCGCGTGTGTAGTCTCTTTCACAGTCTGCGTGGTGTATTCTTCCTGCGGCTTTTTCTTCTCCTGCTCGCGTGAGTCCTCTCGAAAAATTCCTTCCCCCAGCAATTAGAAGTCCACACCAATATATGACTCCCAGCAAATAATTCCTCTGCTGGTCCGTGGAGTTTCCTCAAAATTCCCAACTCTGTGTATTGTGGCTACCAATTTCTCAAGATTATTTGTCACCTCACGTGCCATTGTCAATTTAATTAATTGGACTTTATTTCTTGAACTTCCTCTAATTGTGGGCTTGGTCGTAATTGGCCCAATAATAGTTCATGAGAATTCTCGTCCAATGTTTCGCCCCAACAAAATATTCCAACCAGCTGAAAATAAATAAAAAAATAATCATAGCAAATGAATTCATCAAAATAATAAATAAGTCGAAAAATATAAACGTGCAAATAAATTAAGTATATAAAAATACACTATTAAATATATAAAACGTGCACATTTTTCGATCTATCAAAACACGTCCCAAAACGATTAATAAATACAATTATAAAGGTAGATGAGACAATGACACTGTACAAAATTTTATGAAATCATGCAATTGAGTCTGAACTCGTGGTTAAGATAATAGTAAACACAATTGTAACGATAAATGAGACAATGTACAAAAAATATGATATGATACAATGAGTATCAACTCATGATTAAAATAATAATAGGTAACACGTAAACACTAATTTGAAGCACGAACACGATAATAATTAAAAAACAAGATATGATAGCCTGATTTATGTCGCTATGTTAATCGATCGAACAAGTTTAAACCTCATCAATGAATATAAATTGCAAGTATTGGACACATTTGCGAAATTCTTACATAGTGAAATATTGCATTTTCGGGGCTTAATTTTTATGAAGATAATTTGTTGCACTTTGCTGCATTACTTTGCTTAATGTAAGCGAAGAAATATGAAATTGTCTCGTTTCATATTATTATTATTATTATTATTATTATTATTATTATTATTATGATCATCATCAATTCATCATCATCATCATCTTGCATCTACATCTATATCTATCTATATCTATCTATCTATCTATCTATCTATCTATATCTATCTATCTATCTATCTATATCTATACTATTATAAAAGGACGAGTGATTTTGTAAAAAATTGAACTGCCTAAAACACCCTTACTTTGTCATATTTTTAATGGCAAATTAGTAATACAGTAATACTCATTTTATTTAATATATTTAATTAAGAAATGAACTACCTAAAAGACCCTTGCTTTGACATATTTTGAATGACAAATTAGCAATACACTAATACTCAACATATCTTATATTTTTAATTAATAACTAAAATTTAATTAGTTAAGTACAGAACATACGAAAAAACCATTCCACATCTCATAAAAATCAACTTTAATATTCTTGTACTATTAAAACCCTTACTTTGTCATATTTTTAATGGCAAATTAGTAATACAGTAATACTCATTTTATTTAATATATTTAATTAAGAAGTGAACTACCTAAAAGACCCTTACTTTGACATATTTTTAATGACAAATTAGCAATACACTAATACTCAACATATCTTATATTTTTAATTAATAACTAATATTTAATTAGTTAAGTACAAAACATACGAAAAAACCATTCCATATCTCATAAAAATCAACTTTAATATTCTTGTACTATTATTTCTCACGAATTTGCTTCTTCCACATTCAAATTGGTTTATTTCATAGCTCCCAAAAATCAATCCAAACAACAAAGCTTTAAAAGGATATAGAATTGATGTTTACTTTTACTATGATTTTAATGCAAAATCCTAATCATATTTCCTAATTCTAATATGTAAAAGATCTTCAAAGAAAATTGATCCAACAAAAACAACATAATAAATACTTATAAAGAATCTAATATTTTCAAATACTTGTTTACAATTTTAAAAATCGATAAATCTAGGTAAAAAAAATAGACAACTTAATTGCGGGGTAACATGTATATAATAAATAATTCTAAAGATACATACTTAACTTTAATCAAGAGAAGATAATAAAATCTTACTGAAACCATGTACACGCGAAATATATACATAATCTAACAAACTAAAAAAGTGGAACAATTCATTTAACTACTTCATTTTTTAAGAATAGAAATTGCAACTTAATTTATTGAATTAATTTTTATCACACAAATATCGTCATTTATTTGTTTCTTTGTTTGATTTTTTTTGTTTCTAATTTTGGTAACCAAGCCAATAAAGTTAAGAAATTTCACATGACTTCCATTAGGTGGTTAATATCGAGGTGAATAATATTTTAATTATTAACCCTTAAAATATTTGAACTTTTTCGTCCAACAATTAATTAAAATATATCAGGATATTTTAATTATTATTACTTTATTTGTGTCAAGATGGGAGCTAAATAAAAATGATAATTAAAAATTATATATATATATATATATATATTAAATATTTTGTTTATTGATATTATCTTAATTTTTTTAAATGATTATATGGATTTTTTTAATAAAATTTGAGAGTTTATTTGACCATAAGTATCATATCAAACAAGATACCGTTTCAGTAATATTTATTCAATTTTTTAAGTTTATTAATACCTCTAAATAATAAATTTGAAATCTGTATGGTTTGTCCTCATAAACACCACAAAGTATAGACACATTATTTTTCAAAATAAATAAATTGTGTAATAGTATGAGAAATTAACCTTTGAATGATTGTTTTACAACCTAAAATTATAGTCTACTCAATCTCTTTGCTTAAAATAATATTAGAACAATTTTATGAAATCGTATAATACTAAAGCTCAATCCATTTGTTTCAATTCGAGTTGGACCATTTGAGCAACTTGATTTAATTTTGATCATATGACTATTTACAAATTATTTAAGAGACATGCCTATATACGCTTAAAAATAATTATTTTTTATCAAGAAATTATATCGATATATTACCATTATCCAACTATCTATTAATCTGTATTATTATAAGAAACAATGTTTTTCTTAAAAAATATTAAAATACGAAATAAAAAAAAGGACGAGTGTTTTTGTAAAAATATGAACTACCTAAAATAACCTTATTTTGACATATTTTTAGTGGCAAATTAGTAGTACACTAATACATATCTTATTGTATATTTTTAATTAAAAAATAAATTACCTAAAAAACTCTTACATTAACATGTTTTTAATGGAAAATTAGTAATACACTGATACCCATAATATCTTATATTTTTAATTAATAACTAATGCTTAATTAATTAAATACAAATACATGAACAATACATTTCACATCTCCTGAAAATCAAACAAAATATTCATTCTCACACCATTATTTCTCAAGAAATGGCTTTCTTCCACATATATATCTCCCAAAAATCGACCCACCATTAACCTAAACAACAAAGTTTTGAAAAGATATAGAATTGTTGTTTTAAAAAAAAAAAAAAATCCTTGTTTTTAATATAATTTTATACATTCTCTGACAAACTAAAAAAGTTGAACAATTCATTTAGCTACTTCATTATTTAAGAAAAGTAAACTCTTATATCTAGAATTAGAATAGAAATTGCGCTTTAATCTTACAGGATTGAATTTTGATCCCACAAAAATCGTCATTTGTTTGTTTGTCTGTTTTTTTCAATTTTAGTCACAAAGTGAATAACATTAACGAATTTTCACTTGACCATTAGATGGTTAATATCAAGGTGAGTAATATTTAATTATTATTTAATTTTACTCTTTTTAATATAATATATAAATATCATATTAAAATATAAATAATAATTATTTTCGTTATTTAATATTTAATACGTAAAAGGTTGTAATTTAATTGAGCAATTAATAGGTAATCTTGAGTTAAAATAATGAGTGATTTCTAAAAGGTTATATGGACTAAAAAGTTCATGTGTTTTATATATTTTTAATATAAAAAATTGTAAATGCAATTATTTAATGAAAAATCTACAACATAAAAATTTTAATGTTTAAAAGAAAATACAAAATACAATGCTATATTGCAATGAAAATTTC